AGGTTTGACAATTTAGCATTATGAAGCATGACAGAGATGAAATACGTCTGGCCTGGAAGTGTGTACGGATTCTGGGAACTGAAGACCTGATTTTAGGCAGTCTAAGACCATTTGAAATGTTCAATTATTTTATTTGGGAAATTTCATCTGCTTTTGATTTAGGAGATAAACTTGCATGACGAAATACTTATTCCTGCATTTCAAATGCTCAAGGTTTCATTTGAAAAAAAGGGTGCTTATAAGTTTGGTTTTAATGCGTAAATAACTTTATTTTTTGGTGGTTCTTATTTTAGTGTGAAATGCGCCCATCGCCTACTACGCAGCGTAGATGAGTCTTCACCACAGAAGATGACCCAAATAATCCATGCTGGTTCATGCATTACTTGACATCAGCCACACGAGCCGCTTGCCGGTAGCGTGTATACACTTCCCCTATCCTGACGGACGTTGGTGTGTCTTTAAAGGTCCCTCAACCTTCTGTTTTTTCTTTCTCTTGATATTCACCTTAATCCAGAGCCTGTTATATTTGTGTTGGTCCGATTATTTGTCTCTGTAGCTGTTGTCGTGTTGTCAAGGCACCTCCAGAGAAGCCCCTTGGCTTCGGAAGATGCCAACGGATTTATTGTTCTTTCTTTATTCCCAACATATTATGTTTTTATTAAATCACTGCGTTGCGTTTTATTGCAAACGTGTGGCAGTGTGGAAATGAATGTTGATTGAATAAATGAGTGGTTGGATGAACCTGCGCTTACATATTTTTCTGCATGTTATTCTAGAGTTTTGTTCAGTATAATCTGGAAGTTGTGGCGTGCATGGAGACGGCTAAGAAGATATTTTAGAGGGAAAACAATACTAATTAGGATGGAAAAAGCGCGGGCTTCAAAATTTTAGCAGGGGTTGCAGCTTTGGTTTAAAATTGAACATCTTAAATTTAGCATCCAGTCGAACTTGTTTTGCCGATCGACCTGGTCGATGTTCGCCTGCTGAGGATTTTGTGGCTTTTTATCGAGCTGTTCAAAGCACAGCTGAGTATCGAAGGGGGGGGCGGCGCGCAGTGACCGGGAACTGTCTTTCGATTCCCGGGCAGGGGGGACTGCGTCATTACCATCAAATGCCAACATTATTATCACCGTCAGTCACATTCGGGTCTCGACAGTCGACCTATAGTAGTGTCATTAAAAATTCAGTGCGTTTGCATTTTTTTTAACAGGTCTGCCTGCATTTCGGGTAACTTGGCTTGCCCAAAAAAAAAACCACGACGTGTATTGCATCCTCAAAATTCTTCGAAGTAGACCGAGTTAAGCCCATGTTGATATCTTTGAGAGGTCTGCTTTGGGATCCTCGCTAAGATTCTCTAGAGGGGCATTTCATAGGTTTGACCACAGTTGTTTTTTTTCTCACTTCAAAGTCGGCACTAGAGAGAGTGTCAAAGGCCTACAGCTAGATTGGACCGACCATTCCTCCTTGGGGACGCAAATTGCTAGTTACAGTCGCCTCCTGTTCTATTCTTGCGCTGCACTGCGTAAAACTCCTCACTATTTCAGCAGTTTTTGGCCAACGCTTTCCCGTCACCTACAGTGGCTCACCCAAGGGGGTCTCGGGGGCTTAAGCCCCCCTCCCCTTTCTAGGCTTTCATGTTTCTTTCACTTTCTTGACAGATGAAGATATGTATGCACCTACAATTCCAGATAGCTCTGATAGCCGTACATCCCAGTCCCCTATTTGGGCCAAGGGGGGAGGAGTTTGAGCCGGCATAAGAGTTTTTTTTTTTTTGGAGGGGGGATTCCAGTTGGAGACCCCCACGACAAATATTGTATGTACCTTATACGTTCCGTATTGCATGTCCATTCTCTGAGTTGAACTCTTGTCAAAGGGGTCTTTTCGGCCCTTTTTCAGTTAGGGTCTTTTTCGGCCTTGTTAGCCGATCACAATCGTGATTCCCCGTATGCTCCGCACTGAGACGAGTCTTGCGGCTTGATCATGACTGATTCATCGCATAAAAGCTGACCAGAGCCCCTCTGACAGAGATCGACCTCTGTAATCTAGACGTCATTTATCTGGCAAGAAAACACACACTGACACGGGCACTATACACAACAACCTCTCTCTCTCGCTTTGTGTATACTGCTCTCCACGTGTGATTCCATCCACCGGCAGGATGATTTGCACTAATCCGTCAGGCGACCGGTGCTGTCTCAAAAGTAAACAACGACCCGCAAATTAGCCGTATCGGCACTTGATATTGCACTTGTGGAGCGTAAGTCGCGGATTGAGGAGATTGCGCGCATCACGCAGGCCGGCGTTCCTCTGGAAATAAGATGGGCTCTTTCACGCTGGTAGACCTTGTTTTGGTTCTTTGTCGACTGTGAAAAAACTGCCTGCAGCGTTAATTTGGAGAAATATGCGCTCAACAGAATTACAAACTCTAAAGTAACACAGTGAGGTGCCTGTGCAAATGGTAAACTGTGTATCACCTTGTTTCATTGAAGTCTTGCTCGTCATCCCCACGCCTTCCTTACAAATGTATACGCTACCGTCGATGCCATCCGGTAATTCGGCGCTAGTAACCCAAACTTGGTTTCGCCAAGAACATAGATTATCGCGGATAAGGAAAAATTCCATGAGGCGATGGGACAAGTTATGACCGACACGCCTGCATTCAACTTGTGGTTGCACCTACATGTGCAACTGGTATACATTTTGGAGGATTGCAAGGAAAACCTGTCGAGGAACGTGATCGTTGCTGCTGGGGATTGACTTTTTTGTATACCTGGTTGGGTCTGTTAGGCTTTTTATGTGACATAGTTTTACATCAGTAGATTTAGACGTCAAGAACATCATTTTACACTGCCTACCTAGGCCTGTTCTACATAAAATACTGGATCGAGCAGAACATCGCTAGAAAATGCATAAATATCATTTGACTGTATACGTTGCCAGCATGTCGGGTGCCAATTTCCAAAGCTTGGCAAAGCACATCTTCCTGTAGGCACCGGGCAAATGACTTTACCCTCATGCAAATTTCGCCGCTCGTAGTCCGCTCACGGACGGTAAATAAAGAATACGCTTGACGCATTGAGGTCTTAATCAGGCGCCCAGTTCACTGCATCAGCATCTTCATCCGATATGTAAAGATATAGCTCCCCTGTTTGTGTGTCAACCGCCATGAGAGCTAGGCAACAGCTTCCCTATGCCTTGTGTATTGTGCGAAAGCGAACGCAAACGTGAATTCGCAACAGTTGAAAACATTTCAACTCGATCGAAATTTTGCTGCAAATCTTTAGCCACGTCAAAGTCGCCTCGCTTTCACATTCGCCTGCTTTATGAACTGGCATTTAAGGCCAGCTCTTGAAATTTGACATCACGAAACATTTGCTCTGAAATTCGCCTTGTTGAAATGTTTTGAACTTCGACGAATTTGCAGCGCGAATATTTCATAGGATGTCACAATTTTGCACTTGTGTTCGTTTTTGAGCCAAGTACGCTAGCTGGTCAGTCTGAACTGTGCGCCGGTGTCTACGGATTGGTACCATAGCCCCATCGAAAGGGGGAACTAAAGCCATAGCCAAATGCAGACGTACTAAGCAACGGCAACCTCCAAGTCACATCACGATGTGAATATTGACTTGATGTGATGCCACCCTGGGCGGATTGTGGGAGAGATAAATCAGTATATTGTATATATGTTATGGCCAAGAAAACGTCCGAAACGTATGCAAACCACACCGTTATTAAATTGTGGCTCTAAGTCAGTAGAAACTGTAACCCAGCAATAGTTCCCAGTGTCCCCTCCCAGCCTCTCATTCAGGATGACAATCAAAAGTCCTGACGCACAACGGTCAAGTACTAACTTTTACATTAACCTGTCGGGAGCAATGCAATAATTGGTAAATCATATCGGTATTTTTTTTCTGAGGAAATTGCTCCATAAAGTGCAACACTGGTTTCATGTCCGTCACATATTAATACATATTATAGTGGATGTGATCATAATTATATTTTGCTTTTATGTACTGCATTAGGCAGGCCCGCAATACAGTGGGTTTTTTTTCTGAGGAAGGCATGACGCATTACAATAACATGACAGAAAGTTAATTATACTTCTAAACAGTGTAAGGACAGAAGACAACACTTTATTATGCATAATTATGGACCGTACTTTGAACGACCTATCAAGTTCCAGCTCAAACAAATTTTTTATGCAATAATTAGGTTTACTATTTTTTTTTTTTGCCTTTTTAGTCATATACCATAATGTAAATCAGAGGAAATGCACCTTCCTCGAACAACTAAAGGGATGTTGAGATTATGTTGTGCCGCGCGAGACCCAGTTCAGAGGCACAGATTACTGTCAGCATCAAAGACAATAGCTGTCTAATCATGGTACCCCAGGGTGTTCAGTGCCACACTCAACCGTTTTGTGAAAAAAAAGAAAAAAACGGCCGAACGAGAATGCTTATGGCGACCAGGTGGTTACTCGAGGATGTAAGGCCACATTAGGCTTAGTGGGCAGAAAGCTGAGAATGAACAGGGCAGTGTTGCAACCTCGGCGTGAAAGGATAACAGCAAGAGGGAGGGAAAGAATCTCATCGATCGGTACTGTAGTGACCTGCCTTAAGTGTAAGAGGGGTTCCTATATAAGTTAGCCCTGTAAGCACCGTGATGAGCCGTCGAAATTGTTTGGCTCGAATGCTTGTCTCAGAATTGGCTATTTCTGTAGCTTCGAATTGCTTAAAATTCTGAGTCAGATTTTCCCTCAGAGGATGCGTACAGGGGCCAGATTGAAATTGATCCTTTCCACGGACCATCGTTCTTTTCTTCATCGGGAGAAAGCGACGGAGAACAGAATGGCACCGATATCAGTGTGTAGTGCCAGTGCGCTTGGCGTCGATTTCCGACATGAATATTCATCGGCGTGCAGTATGACATCACTGTCATGTAAGCCAGTGACGGCTGAACGGACGGGTGGGTACGAGGCATATTCAGGCAAAGAAGGCAGGTGATGGCTTCGGGTTGATGCTGAGGGTGGTACGCCGGGTTTCGATAACGATGCGCAGAAGAACGGTGGCAGCCCCGTATACGCTGGAGCGCTTCATTTTGCTCGTCGTGTGTGGGGATGAAGGCAGCTTAAAGATTGAGTACCTCCGTTAGTAACATCGCAAGGTTTAATCTATATCCATAGACAAAGCACCAAATGCACATGCAGCACCGTGGTGATATATTTCAAGTGTTTTAATCATGGATGCAATGTTTGCATGGATTGAAACTTGGGAGTAGGGGCAGCGTTGCCAGTGGGAACAAGGAATGCAAAATCAATGGAGCAAGTCAGTGTTTGTCAACCCAGCCGCTGTGCGTGATCATGGGTCCATTACCTAAACAGCAGGGTAGCTGAACGATGGTCGATCATCAGATGCACATTAGATTCGTCATACCGAACAGTGGGATATAATTGAAAATTCTAAATGATGCGGGTTCAGTTACATGGGAAGACGACGAGGTACTCGAAATCGTGTGTGTTACGGTGAGTCGTTGGCCACTGCACGTGTAAGTGCTGCACGCAGTGTGTGCTGCATTGGCTTGAGTACAAAGTAGAAGGCGGGAAAAACGCAGCGTGGGGTTTCGTCTACGGTAGATAGCACATGCTTTTCGAAAGCTTCGTAACAATAAACGCAGTCACCGCTCCAAACGATGCGTTTTCATGAACAATGCTGGAAGACCTTGACTCGAGCCAATAGCATTAATTCCCATCCTCTAAGTTCGCTACAAGTGTCTATAATAATATGCAACGACGAATAATATAAAATCGTCTGTAAAAATTGCGCTGTGCTACACAATGTGTCTGCGTAATCACCATTTAAGACTGCATTGGTATTACAAACACGACTACGGTGACTGCTGTGTGATGCATTGAAAGGGAAATGTCATTATGTTTACTGTGCACGTCCACCCAGGAAATTGTTACTCGCATTTTATAACTATACCACCGTCTTCTGGGAGCAACCTTTATGTTCTTCACGCATCATCAATGGATGAAGTATAGCATTACTGCTAACCAACGGAGGGAACGAACTACCTGGGATTTTGTTTTTGTGTCAGATGAGAACGTGTAACCCAGTAAGCAGGTACCTACCGCTTGCGCCATAATATCTTGCCCCTGCTAAGTTGGGTTGCGACTGCGGTGGTGTCCGTGGCATGTCATGTTTGCTAGCTTCGGCAGCAGCGCCCATCGCCACCGCCTTACGCCCGGCTTTCGCGACTTGCACCAGGTATGCTGGTTCCATCCACGGTGCTGCCTCTTACAATGATCCTTGGTCTGCCCCTTATGTCAGCCCGCAGCGACCACCAGCAGCAACAGCAAGGACCACCCTTCGACGAGGCCAGTCTCCTCGAGTGCACAGGAGATCAATTCTGGGTGAACGTTACGCGGCGAGACGATGGCGATGCCTTGACTAGTGCCTGCCCGCGGTGCGGCGATCTGTGCCTGCAGGCCGGGGCGGTCAGACTCCGCTGCGATCTAAGGGAATACCCTTGCACCTGTCGGTGCCCGGAGAACCAGACGTTCAGGACTGACATCAATTTGTGCGTGGACTCCTTTTCAGGTAAGTTCGCTGTCGATGCTAACAGTTTGGTTTTGTAAAATGTTAAAATGTTTGTTTTCTATTGCCGTGACGTAACTACGGGGGACCCGTGCCCCCCCTGGGTGCCCCCCATCTGAAATCCATGAACAACTTCTGCTGCAGCCCATTGTCTTTTGGTGCCCCCTTGATGAAAAAATGTGTTCACTCCGGGTACCCCGAACCTAATAGCCCTAGTTACGCTCTGCTTTCTTGGCTTGCTTTTCTTCCAGCAATTTTAAGCTCTGCTCGAGATTGCTTAACAAAATCAATAAGCAACAGTGTCTTTTTAGTGAGCCTACACATTGTACCAGTGTTCAGTTAGAAACCTTCGAGAGGTGCCACGCGTCCCAATATTTATCGTCTTTGTTGCTGGCCCCTTCTGAGCTTTTTAACAGTCATTTACCTGCATAAAAATAAACTAAATTATTTAAACGTATCATCAGAAAAATCTTGCCACTGTGCTCAGACTGAAATTCATCTAAATCCATCACACCATATAATTGTTTTGATTAGACACCAGAGAAAGTGTTTTGTTGAAAATTCATGGTTTCATATTGATAGGCATTTTAATTTGGGTGTGCAAGATTCAGCGATGCAGTATTGGGGCATAGGAATTGAAGGTAGCGTTTTAAACTATTGATTCTGCCTCTTGATTGACCGAGACCTTATCACGTGGTACTCATTAACAGCCTCCTTTTGTTGAGCTCCGAAAAAGTACTTTACATCGGCTGCCTCGTTTTGATGTAACTTTATTCACGACAACCAACTGCCGTACCTCTTGCAACCTGAGTTCAGCGCCAAGGCGCCTGTAATGCGCGTTTATGTGATCCAAGTGTTGTGCATGCTTTCAAGAGTTGGAACAGTGAAACTAATTCAAAAAGAATAAAAAATAAGGTATAAATTAGCGTGATAATGGGTTTAATAAGTGTCTCTAAGACTGTGCAGAATTTATTGATGAGGTATTCTACAACAAAACATTATTGCTTTATATCGTGATCCATTGAAACCTGCCTTCTGCGTTTATCCATTGAGCGTTCCACTTTCCCTCGGCTCCGCCTCTGGAAAATAGAACGCATAGATCATTTGGAGAGACTCAGACTAGATTTACTATACCATATGAATCTAATATCCACAGATATAGTTGGAATGTAAGATAATGATATAAAACTGTCGGGTTATCACACTGCAATACGTACATGTACATCAACTTGTTTTGCCGTCTCTGATGTGTTCTTGGTATTTAAGGCCTAGCGCAAATCTATTGCTTTGACTGAGCCGCTGAATGTAACAGACACCAAGCTTAGGCCTACCAGGCCCGCACACAGTGCTGATACATGAAAGCCATACGGCATGAAACTCGTGAGATAGGTTACTGGCACGGGTGTTCCAGACGTGACATTCATTTATCGTTTAATTACATCAGTTAGGCCACAGCCGGGCCCATCACATTGAAGCCGGCCCGGCTTCGCACTGATCACCAATTAGTACCCTGAATAGCATCGCCTAATGTAAATGTGCCATCCGAGCACACCCGATAACATACTTCCCATATTCCATTTAACAAATATTGACATCTATTTCAAAGGTGGATTTGCGCCGGGGAGATGTGATACACGTCCGGCAGGGCAAAAATCCAAAATTAAATACTGGCACTTTTAATGACAGAAGAAAAGGTTTGCCGAATTTGGATTGTAAGAGGCGATGCCATACCTATTTGTTATGACACTTGTCCATTTCCATGTTATTGCAGGCGTTATTTTTATTTCAATGTGCTCAGGGTAGCGTATATATCCCGCCAAAGGCTGTCATGAAGGTAGATTATACATGATTCATCGATGACGGTCGGTCATCATAATCATGGTCTCAATAGACAGCCTGTTTCTGTTTTATGCGTATATTAATACAATGATGGCTCCAACTGGCGCCATATGGTAAATGTCTCAATAGGAGTGAGTCCTCAAGGAGTAACTCACACCTTAATTAAAGAGTTCTACTACATGGTGATACCTCACACTTGACACCACTGCTTGCTTCATGTAAACCAAATCTTGCACGACTTCGATTGGGTGGTGCGCACCGTATAAATGACCAGGTGTTCACCGCTCATGAGCATTGAACTGTTACAGACGTCGAAAAGTTGCACCGGTGTAAATTAAAGTGAATAGCACAACGGCTTGTTGTCTAGTAAACACCAATGGTACGAGTATTTTGTTCTAAACCTAGAAATGTTCTTACCAGTGAGCAGTAAGTACATTGTAACTGGCCCATTCTAGCCACATTTTAAGCACGCTGTCGGTGATGCTATGTGCATTAGCAGCGGGGGCGTAGTTACTACAGTGAGTGACTACACGCAAAATGATAAAAATGTATGGATGACATCTGCACTTTGTCAGGGCTGGCAATTTTGATGTCAGATATAAACGTCGAATAAGTTGTAAATAACTATTTCGTAGTCTCTCAGGGACTTATATTGTTCTGACTAGATCCATGGGACGTTCTTAAAATGTGTAGTCCATTTTTTTTTCTATCCCTGTTACATCTGGCGAATGATTGTTTAAGACTAGGAAACATTCTTTAATTTTATATGTTCAATAGTGCATCCCTGGTTAAACTGGCCACGTGCAGCTATGAAAAATGTCACACGTCGTGCCCTTAGTTTATAAAATAACCCATCCTATCAAACTGTTGGCTATTATCTTGTACCAAAACAGGAAATGTCGGTGAAATAACGTGAATATGCTTTACCCTGTAAGCCATAGGAGTACTGCAGTTGAGAGCATACTGCATTAAGCAATACCACGTTTACGGCAACGAATGGCTTTGCAACTTAGTGTGTGTTATGTCTAGGATCTTCACAGTACGTATGGACATCCGACGTGTCATTGTGGAGAATTATTCGTATTCGTCGGTGTGCGAGGCATTCATTTTTTTTTTTTTTACTGAATAACGTGTCTGTGCAAAACGTTATATCTCCAAGGCCTTTACGTTAAAATGGTAGCACTAAACAGACAGCAAATAAACAGCGGTGCACGCTCTTCTAAAAACACGACGCACCGTCATTGAATCATCCACCAACTGAGGTTGATTTGAGTATGTTGCATACTTTACACACCAATACCCAGGCGCAGTTTTTTAGTGCATTTTTCTTTCTTATGGGGAACAGATGTTAATCGTTCATGATGGCCACCGAAAACTCGACTTCAACCAGCAGATATTTGATATGTGTACATTAATTAATACCAATGGCTACTGCTAGGCCCACATGTGGAGGAGTTTCAAAATTCGAGACTTGTAAGGTACAGATTTAGCATTTTTCCCGATGTCACAGATAAATTTCCACAGTTTTCCCTCAAGGGGTAAATGATGTCATTATGAATGACAGCAGAATGTGTAAATGTCTGCGTTGTCTAGTTATCCTTTGTAAGTAAACTGTTACAACAAATCGGTTTGTCAAAGTGGGGGACGATGTCAAACGCGGGACAAGCTAGACTCTCTCATCTCGGCTTGTCAAACTGTAGTTTAAGGGGGGTTCACCCAACCCTCCAACAATGATGATCGATATTGTGTCAAACGGGTGGTCATCACACGCCAGCTCGGTCCCTCCAGGAGACATCAACTGTTCCAGATAACGAACCCCGCAGGCTCCTCCGGCTAAAAGCTTTCCCTCGCCGTCTGCACTGGCAGGTATCTACCCTTCCCACAGCAGACAATAGGCCTAATGGTGGCAACTTCCTGGCTTAATTTTTGGTGCGAACGATTAGCAAGTGACATGTTTGTTTCCACAATTCTGCTGTTGCCCCATAAATATTTGGCGAGACGGGCGGCTGTTTATTGAACTGTCTCTGCCATTTTGAACATGCGCTGAAACCTTGTATCAATTTTAATCGTATAATGCATCGGTTGACTTGCATTGCTTCTCGCTTGTGTTTTTGTATGATAGTTTGTATATTAAGGGAATCCATTAAGTATTGTTTACTTAATAATTGACACAACGCCATTGGTAACAACCAAACTTAGTTGGCTACAGCCTGTTGTCTTTGACAATGAAGTGCAGGAATACATTTTGTGTAAAAATGAAGCTGCTTGCTCATAGGCGCCTTAAGTTCATCGTACGTCTAGTATACAATAATTGTTCCCTTTTGATCATTTCGTATGAAATAATCGTAAAAAGCTTGTTTTCTGCATATAATCAGAACACTGGTATTTTGGGCTTTTGGTATTAACCAAAAGACTTCTCCCCCCTCCCACATCATTGTGTACAATTCGCCAGAGTGATGCAACACCAGCATCTGATAGAGTCAGACAGAAGCCTTTCAGGCCCTGTGTCGTCTCGATGCGACAACGCATTGGATCTCCATGTCACTATCAGGTTCCTGCCTGGATAAGCCACGTGGAAGTAATACATGGAGTTTGCTCCGTCGACAGTGAGGTGAAGGTCTCCAGATTGACGTCATCCGTATTATTTCTTCACCGTAATCGATAACGAGGTTGCAGCAGAAACCTTGATCCGATCAAAATTGAATCAGGCAAACTCCGGATGGGCTTATATATTTCAGGAGCCGTGGGCAAACATGTAAAAAACAGGAGAAAGGGTGGTCGGTTCCATTGGAAATCCCGCTCTTTCTCGTTCCACTTTGCGTGTGACAGAAATCAACCGGGATTGCTTTCCTTGGATGTGCTTAGTTTATACACTATTATGTCGCTGCAAGCCAAAGTCAGCTTTAATTACTGCGAACGATATGATACTAATCAAGCTTAAGCCGTGATCCAAACCAGCAATTTATTATTAGCCTAACTCGTTTACTTTTTTCTTTTAAGATAAGCAAAGCATTGAAAAAACCGGGAGAATGACAGCTTATGAAAACTCTGAAACAGGGTATTAAGGGGGTAAAATATCCAAATTGGGGGTTTTAATTCCACGTAGAAGCACAGTAAACTCGTAACTGTGCCTTTGTATGTAATCCAGTGCGACGTAAAATATA